GTGATTTGCTACAAACCCAAGGAGGCAATGAACAAAACAGAAAGCCCCTAGTGACTTGGAACAAAATCACCTCCCAGACACCTTGTGGTTTCCAAGCTTATGAGGTTGAGGGAAGGGTAAGAGGATAAAGACAGCATCTAAATGACTAAGTCTCATTCATTCTCTCAACAGCCACCAGAAGACTCCAAAACGGCTACCTACAACTATGCTTTCTTTCTCTCTCCCCAGGGCAAAAACTTCCTTCCCCTACACAACTGCAGGCATGCATTCTCCCAGCAAGTTTGACAAATGCAAGGCATCTCTGTCTGATACACCTTGGTTCTCATCTGTTGCAAAACGAATTCAGCCTTTCATCCTTCCAAACTTCTGCAGCCCTGCCACCTGCTCCTTCCTTTCACTCACACCAACTGACCTGCCTGAGCAGATCCCACCGCTCTCAGCCCAGCTCCCAGTTCTGCAGACCATGAGAATTAACTCTGAGACACTACCCTTTGACATATGAACAACTTACCAGGTCTCTGCTGTTCTCTGGCAATTGATTGCCCGCATGCGTACAGCATGCTGCAGGTTCAGGTACATCACCTATCTTTAAAAATCTTCTATCAGAGCAGGGAAGAGGAATTACTACTGTTGCATTACAAAACACGTGGCAACCAAGTACAGTAATAGGACAGTCTGTGCAATCCCTCCTCGGTGAAGATGCTAGTTAGACAAATGTTATCTATACCAATGCATCCAGACCATGTAGGATACAAGAGTTGCTTCCAGCCTTACACTTCCGTGGGCTCATTTCAAAGGCATAAAAAACTACTAAACCATTTTGAGTACTCAAAGTGTTCTTCTGCTTTGGAGAACTGTTCTTCTATTGCATTATTTTTCAGTTGAAATTGATTGCATTATTTTTCAGTTGAAATTGAAGCAGTCAGTAGCATCACCAAGTCTACAAGCTTAACAAAATTAACACAACTACATGCAAGCTACACACAGATTCCTGTCCTAGTGAATGCACAGCATCATCAGGACTGTTTTATTCAGACATAAACATTCTGTCCTGAATGGAACTTTGTGCCCTGCTTACGCACAGTCTGCTCAGAAAATGAAAGCACACGCTCATGGCATGGCTGGACTTTGAGCCCAAACACAATATAACTCCTGCGACAGGAAACCATCACTCTGTGGTGGGAATAAAGCATTTGTGAAGAACCTAACAAATCACCTCTCTCTCCCCTCTGGTGAGAAATGCAAGGGAAGGGAACATCTGCCAAGGAGACTATGACAGCGACTACTGAGACTGCTGACAAATACATTCTGAGATACGAAAAAGCAATGTAAAAATCAACAGATGATTTTATTATTTTTTTAAAGAGAAGTTTGTAATATGTGCTAAAGAAGGGTCATCAAAACAGCCACTTCACTATGAGAGTATTTCTTATTGGGAATACTTCCATCTTTGTCCCTTGTAAAATAAAGCTTGTCCTCCTGCATCAGAGAACAGGCAGACAATTCAGCCAGCATTTACACAAGGTTTCTTTGAGGGTAAAACATCCGCACTGAAATATTTGTGTAATGGTTCAGGGCTTGAAATTTGGGCTCCTGAGCAATCTGGCCAGCATATCTCCCATTTCCTTACAGGATACGCCTACACCACACAGCACAGTACAGAAATACCCAGGTTTGACCAGGAACTGGAGGCAGCGTAGCTGAAATATTCAAAGAGGTTCACGCAGGCTGATTTGCCTAATGAAAAATGGCTCTTCTCAGATGGACGAAGGGGTTCACGCACGATTCCGCGCTTACACAGCCACACAACTGGAGAGTTATGAAGCCCCAATCTGCCACACAGGCTGTGCTTGTGTGCCTCCATCAAGCACATTACTTGTGTCCTTCACTTTGACAGCCCATGTCCAGCTGCTATGCTAGGACTTGTGAGAAAGCTCCCAAACCAAACAGAAAAGTAAATAAGATTTTCAGATTACAACTGACTGAGCCATTAATGATGGCTATAGCACTAGTCAAGAAGTAGACACTGCAGAACAGATAGATTTAAGAAAACTGTTTAATATGCAAGATAAGTCAGTTACTAATTCAAAGCACTGATAAAGTAACTGAGTTGAATGGCCAAAAGGAATTCTTTCTCATGTCACATAATTCATATTTCAAACAAATTATGTTGATACACTACAGTAGCTCCAACTGGCAAGACAGAACAGGATAAAGCAGCTTTGGTTCACTCATTTTAATTAATAATTAAAACAATCATCTGGGGGAAAAAAAAACACCCCTTCGATCTATGCAATTCTTTTCACTCTGAAAATCTTGATCCACACATATACAAGCACAAGGGAAAGACCCACAAAGATAAAAAGACATTCTACTTGCTTTAATTCTTACTTCATGTTTTCCACAAGTCATTTACACATTAGACAAAGGAATGCTGTCTAGTGTGGCTATGTAGAATGAAGGTATAGTGGTTTAGTACTGTGTATCACATAAGGCAAGCAAATGGAACAAGATTAATATCTAGTTCATATGAACACCCAGATGAAATTCTTCAGCACTATTGTGGAACAGTTCAAAGGTTCACCGGCCACCTCTTAGGCACAACCCTCACAATTAATGCATCCAAACCCTCCTTAATATAAGGGAGCATAAATAAGTCTCACAGCTCTAAACAACAGATTTAGAAAGACAGATTTCAAGTAACTCGATAAATGAAGAATCAAGTGGCGCAAATCTTTTTTTTTTTCCTCAACATAGTTTAAAATCCCTCAGTCTTTTATCTAAAACTAGTGTAAGTAAAATGCACTCCTTTTTAAGAGAATGGCTGCAGTGAAAAATACATAATCTAAATACAAAGCTACCAGGTGCTTGTTAGGATCTGTATTTTCTAGAGAAAGCCAGCAGCATTTTTCTCCTAATAACATCCAAAGGGAAAAAAAGAAGCAAAGAACCCCACCTGAATCTACTTCTTCATTATATGCTTATCTAGCAGTGTGAAGGAAGGACTACCACACTAAGCTCAGGTCTTCACTGAGCTCTCCCAAAGGAGATCTACGTTTTCTCAAGGCAGAAAGCTACAAACCTATTACAGAAATGCTTTCCTTCTGATGTCATGATTTTGCACTTACAAACACTCAGTTCCAAGTACTGTGAAGATACGGTACCCATCGGAAGACCCAATTAATAAAGGGTTCCTAGGCCAGAACCAGCACTGTCACTGATGTGAGCATACAGTTCATGCTCCGGGGGAGGGGAAGAGAAGAAATAATGTTGGCTCTTTCATGAACATAAAAGGGCAGAATTACACATTAGTGTAGCTTCCCCATGTATAGACATTTTTTCCCTGAAATGCAGTGTAAACCTAAAATCAACCATTAGGTACGTTAAGTAAAGCTCAAATCATTGGTGCAATTACTCTTACAGAGGATTACGACCGAACTCTGTATAATGTGGATTGTTAAAATTTCATAATTAAGGAATAAATCACAATGGGAAAATGGGTCTCTATTCAAAAACAGCCAAACAAGCGGACATCATTAATACCCTTATAACAAGGCAAGACCAGAACTGAAATGTAGGAACACTGCTGCCAGGTCAGGACGGAGGTGAACCGGCAGAACCATGCAGACAGGCTCGTACCGCACCTGCCCAGCCCTGGGCCTGCCTCAGAGCCGTGCTTGCTCCTTCACCGCCCTTCTTCCTCACCACGGCAAAGCAGTGAGCAGCCTGACCAAGCTTCGTGACAAGGGGGGGGGGGGGGGGGGGGAAATCCTGCCCTTCTTTTAATCACTGCTATTACATTTGAAAGGTTAGGTAGTGGGCACTCTTGATTCCTGCATGCTTTAAATACCAAGACATCTGACCTTCAGAGGACCCTTCTTCCTGAAGAAAAATCACTCCCAAAAAAACTAACACAGACACTACAGAGATCAATCTAAAATAAGAACAGTCACAGGTAGGGATGATACTGGTAACATCAGTTTTTTCATGCTAGTATCCTTCTGAAAGAGACCTCTTAAGAAGAGGAAGCAAAGAAACCTGGGGCTGTCCAGTCAGAGCAATGAACCAATTGCCTATCCGACATGATTTTCTTATGAGGAAGGATTCATTTGTGAACTACACACAGGCTGTGAAAACAGCATGAGAAGCACCGAGCCCTGCAAAATTGGATTCTGATTAGTAAAATGACAGGAAAGTTGTAGGAGTCTCTCAGAATAGCTGGGAAGTACAGACACCGATTCTGAGGGCATTGATGTCGGTGCCCACTGAGCACTTGAGGAGCTCCAACGTGCTCAGCTGTCACCAGGGCAGAGCCAAAAGTGGGAGACCAATGCACCTCTCTTCCAATATCGGGATCAAACATCTCAGGTATCAAACACGAAACCTCCGAGCAAAGTTAAAAATAGGTCCGAGCGCCCAAAAATATGCCTAAGGACAGCGCTTCCACCTCCTTGTTTAAGACAAGAGTTCTCTTCGAGATCTTCCAGCGTTCCTCATCAGCGCTTTGTGCTGCCGGCCTACAACGAGTGACAATAGGAGCAGCCAGTTTGCTTCAGATCGCCCCCAGGAAACAAACGTACCTAGTGATCTGTCTGTCACGGGGCTGCAGCACACGCTCCAGGCCCTAAGAGCACGGATGCCGATAAAATTAAAAATGGCTGTGCCCAGGGATCTCACAGCACAACCGGCGCAGCTCCGCCGGCGATTAAAATATATATTAAAAACGCCCGCATTGCCTTACCGAGGGCGCGGCATGCAAAACGAGATGATTATTTCAATTTTGGAAAAATACCGAAGCGAGAAGCCGAGAGAAGCGGAGTCGCGCAGAACGCGCACCCCTACCGCGAATGGTTCATTTACACAATAAAGCAGAAATAAAGCAGATTCACGCTGCCGGCCGCCCCGACACGCGGCCCTCCCCGAGCGCCCGGCACGGACCCCGCACGGAGCCGCCGCCGGACCGCGCCCCGCCGCGCCCGAACGCCGTGCACGGTACTTACCGGCCGCAGCGCCGGGCTGCGGGGCGGCGGCGGCGAGCAGGAGCGGGAGCAGCGGCACGAGGCGCCGCAGCGAGGCCGTCATCCTGGGGGCGCGGGGGTCGAGGCGGAGCGGGAAATAAAGACACCGACGAGAGCGATTTCCTCCGTTTTCCGGCGGCCGCGGCGAGCTCTCGGCTCACGGCTCGGTCCGCGAGGGCGGACGGCAGGTGAGGGGCGCCGGCTGCGCTGCTACTCCCTCGCGGCGGCCCGTCCGCATGGCTCCGCGGCGCCGGGGAGGACGCCGGCCGCCGCCGCCCGGCTCCGGGAAAGGCGTCGCGCCGCCGCCCGCCTCGGGAACGCGCTTATTTCCCACGCAGCTTCACGATATCGAAGAAGCAGCCGGGTTGGGAAGGAAACATATCCAGACGGGAAGCGACGGCTGTCACTCGCGGCAGCCCCTCACGCCGCCCGGCTCCGAGGGCCGCGGGCGCAGAGCCGGCCGCCGCCCGGCGGAGGGCCCCGCCGTCTTCACGCGCCCGGGGACGAGACCGGCTGCGCTCCGTGCGCGGGGGCTACGGCCGCCCCCCGGCCCATCCGCCCGCCGCCAGCCGGCTCCGCAGCCCGGCCCCCGCGGCGACGCCACCCCCGGCCGCCCTGACGGAGGTGGGGCGCGGGGCGGCGGGAGCGAGGCCCCTCCTCGGTGGCCCCGGCGCCCGGCTGCGTTCCGCGGAGGTTCTTCCCCTGCGCCGGAGAACGGCTCTTCTCCTCCTCTTCCTTCTCCTCAGCGCTCCGCGAGCCGCTTCAGCGCCGGCCCGGCCGGCCTCTCTCAGCTTCGAGCGGGGCCGGGCGCGGCCGTGCCCGCGGGGCGGGGAGCGGCTCGGTCCCTCCGCGCCGCCGGCGCCTTCCCCGACGCCGGGCTGGCCAGCGAGGGGCGGTCCCGCGCCACCTCCTTCCCGTGCCCTCCGCCGGCCGAGGGCCGCAGAGCCCGCCGCCCCGCTGCGGCTCGCGCCCCCTCCCGCCCGTCGACACCGACGGCCGCGCCTCGCGCCAGACACAAAGGGGACTCGCTCCAACCGCCGGCCCGGGGCGCCGCGCGCCACCCCTCGCGCCCCGCCCCCGCCGCGCCCCTGACCATAGAGGCGGGCCTCCGGGAAGGTAAAGAGGGGCACCGCCGCGAGGAGGGGCGGCGCTGTGCGCGCGGGCCGTTGGGGGCTCCGCCATGTTGGGATGGGGGTGAGGGGCTGAGGCTCTACGTCCGTCTCGAACCTCACGTTTTCCCTTTAACAAACGCTCGCGGATCTGCCCCGTCTCTCGCCACGAGCCCTGCCGCGGTCCCCGCCGAGCTCCAGCAGCGCGGTGGTACCCGAGTGAGATGTGCCCTGCTCACGCCTGACAAAACCATTATCTGCCGCTTAAATTAAAGAGATTTTTTGTTTTCAAAACAAAGATTAAAAAGTCAATCTGATGAGCTGTCGGTATGCTTTAACCTTTGCTACATGACGCAGAACTGAGGAGATAATTAAGGCCAGCAGCTGACTGGAAGGCTGCTGTTCTGGCCCAGCGAGGCTCTTCCAAACAAGTTTAACCGGGTACGGGTTAGAAAAAGGTGCTTAAAAACATCCTGCGTGCAGAGGGTGCCCTGCGAGCCCGGTGCCTTCCTAGCCCTGCTCTTCCAGTGGGTCGTCATGGGAGATGCTTCCCTGTGCCTGTGTTTCTGTGCCAGCTTCAGTAATAAGGGAACAAGGGAGGAATGCGTGTTCAAAAACCCAATTCCACAACTCCAGGTATTAAGTTCTCCTCCATAAAATGGCAGTTGCGAATCAGAGTAGTGTTTTTAATGATAATGAAGAGCCTCTACATTACTTCATTGCTTCCACAAGCTGTAACAGGTGAAACAGCTTTGAACTGATTCTTGCGTCACCAAAAGACATTAAATTCTAATAGGATTTTTATCATTATAAATGCTTAGGCCAGAAACAGGGTTTGACATCCCTAAGGTCAAGTTCAGTTTGTGCGGCTGGTAATTACAAGACTGTTTCCAAAGTTTGTTACAATATTTTTACTTCCAATCTATGCAGATCTAATATGGTATTGGTGAGAGACAATGAAATATAGACTCCCAGACTGTAATTTGTATTGCCACTCTCTTACAGCCATACGTATAATATATCTTCCTTATTAGTTGTGGAATGTGAACTGACAAGAAATAGCCCTGAGAAGAAGAAGAAGAAAAAAAATACAATAGTTTTACCTCTAAGAGAGGGGGAAAGAAAAAAAAAAAAAAAAGAAAAAAAAAAAGCAAACCAACACTAACTATTCTTTGTGGGCCCAAAATCCATTGTTTTTTTCTGTTTTAGTGAAGTCTAACTGCTCAAAATTCTTCCTACCCAGCTGCACCTACCAATAAAATAAGCAGGAGCTGCTTTGCTCACAGAAAACAAGAACCTAACTGTGTGGGCTGCACAGCACTTTCACTGTTTAGATGGTAAAAGAAAATTACAGTAATTATGACGTATATCAAAACCTGCTCAGCCTGAAGTAAATGACAGAAGTCCTGCTTGTGTTAATGGTTCCAGTCTTGGCTCATTAGTTAACATCAGGAGTTCTCCACAAGGATTCATATAAAACAGATATTCTGCCTTAAAACACTTCTATTCTTGCATCAAGATGGACTGGATTTTTGTTATGAGTTTTTTTGCTCTTTTGGTGGGTTGGTTTTTTTTCCTAGAAAGAAGAAACAAGAGTCATGCTGTTTCTAATACTATTATGCCCTCACATTTTCACAAATACCCAAGCCATGTTCTGGCAGACACCCTTGTGAAGGCCACAGAGGCCTGCAAAAGCACCCCCAAGGGTGTGAAGATGCTTTGCTTGAGCTTGTATCAGGACCTTGGACTGACCTCCTGGACAAGCATTCCCAGCAGTTTGCAACAGTTTGTCCTCCTTCCCTGCCACATTTTTAATCCTGCAGAAGCCTGGAGCAGGGGCTGGTCCCTTCTAGCCCAGTGGGGCTGGCAGGGTGTGAAATCCCTGGCACTGCAGCCATGCCATGCTGCAGGGCCAAGGAGGGGCTTGCCCTGCTCCACCACCCAGATGCAGGAAGCAATCATGGCTGCCCAACCACAGGAGCAGCTTCCTTTTCCCACGGTGGTGGAAGGAAACCAGATCTCAACTGTCACTCACAGACTCACTCATTGTTATGTGATCAGACAAGGACATATTTATAGTTCGTGCTGTGACATTGTTTTATCTGTTTAACTGTAAGCTAGAATTTCACCAGCATAATATTTGGCAATTTCAAAGAAGACCAACAGGAAAACATCCAGGACAACAAAGACCTGCAAAGCTGCAGCACTCTAGATCTGGGATGTTGGTCCAAAAAGGCTGGGGGAGAGATAAGAAAAAGCCTATAAAGCTTACCAAGATTTTAGAGGAAAATATTCTGCCTGAAGCACTGTATTTCCACTAAGAAAAACTTAGCTCAGTGAAACAAAAGTATTGAATATAACTAAATTACTGTTAAAAATAGAGAGAAAACAGATGCTCTTCTACAGCTGTTGTTCACTGTTCTCACAGTAAGGACAAGGATGAGGGTGGAAGCATTTGCAGGGCAGGTGCAAGGACAGCGACAGGAGAGCCAAGGCACTGTGGCTGCAAGCTCCTCATAGGCAGCAGCCTAATGTGAACAGCAGGGCATGTCTGCCTTGCCCTAGGGCGAGGAAGCTTTGAATGATGCAGACCCTGGCGGGGCACTGAGGCTGCCCTGTATGCTATGTCTGTACTTAAGTGAGACACTGCAATGAGAAGTACAGCTGATACACATCTCGGGTCTTTCCTGCTGTCCGCCACACTGATGCACATGCAGACATAGTGATGTCACTTGCAAATTCAACATTGCACATAGATGAGACAGAACATGTCCTTGTTAGCAGCATCTCATGTGAACGCTGTGTGGTTTTTTTTATTACTGGGCATATGGAGATTTGTTTTCATGCTTCTAAGGGAATATTCCTATCAGTGGAAAATACATTGTACAAGGCATTAAGGAAACCAAAATGAACTACCAAACAATAGCATTAGCCCTATTTATTTTTAAACAGCACAGTTTTCAGGCACTTTAAAAGGATTTCTCAGGACGGGTTCACTGTTATCCAAGAGTTTTTCAGCACTGACGCCACACAACTGTTATCATTTGTTAGGACTCGGGGGACTGTTCTTTTTGACAGAGCCTTTCAAGAAGTCAACAAATCAGTTTAAAATAAGTCATAAATTATACTTGGCTGCCTGTCGGCTTGGCCAGACCGTTCTCTCAATGCTGTTGTAAGTGTTAAGGAAAAAGGATAACAGCATGGCCCAATGTTTAGGTTTTAGGGAATATTTTGTTCCCATTTTAAAAACAAAGCATCCCCATAGCATTGACTCTGATGACTAAACATGCTAAAATAGTAATCAAGATGTTCACACTTTACTCCAAATAAATACACCCATTCTGAATCCTAAGTAATGCCCTAATAAATAATGGATTTGGTATTGGTCTCTGCTGCAAATGCCTGTCGTTCATGGCTACGTTAGAGAGTTGTCAACAGGATAATCTCCATGATCTCACCTCCTGTACCTGTATGTCAAGGTTCCTGATAGCCAGGATCCAAGCCTTACATAGCCCTCTAGATTATTATTAACAGCCTGAACTGCAGCCAGAATGAACTGAAAAGATGATACTGTCTACTCACAGTCTGCTGAGTTAGCAGCTAAAGCTTGTGCCAATGCAGCCAAACAAGTAATCACATGCAGAAGCTGTTACCATTGGAAGCATTCAGTTACTTATTTTACAGATTTTCCCATCAGTGTTAAACCTGAGGTGTCACACGGAGTCATTAATACACCCCCATGAGCTCAGTAGGAGTTAAAGGTCAGAATAGTGAGAGCAGCTGTGGGAAGTTCGTTGTTATAGTGAAGTGGGCACACAATGTGTAGAAAGAGAAATAGTGAGTCCTCTGGTGATGTTAGCAGTGAGGCTCCTGAAGTACCTCTCTTCAGCAAGAGGCCCTTCGCATGTCTTCCCTTGACCTACCAGAGTCACTCTCATCTCAGCTGAATTGAGTTCTGGAAAACGAGCAGAAACCAGCAATCACCTTTATCTTAGGAAAATGGAGGGACATTCCCTCCACAAAAGAGGGAAAGGTAGACAACAAGCATCACAGCACAAGTCTCGCATACTTGAACAGAGAAAAGACTGACTGAAACTTCGGGCAAGTCCTTTGTGCTGGAAAGTCAATTCCTTTCTGTTCTTTCTGATGGGCAGGAAAAGCACTATCCCCTGCAATCGACAACCAGTCTGGTCTGTCCTGCCAAGATCTGAGACTGATAAAGCCTCTGTAGCACCACAAACCAGAGCCTGCTCTCACTCTCACGATTGCACCAAGAGCTTTAAGGAAATGGCAAATTGAATTCCTTGCCTCAGAGGGAATTTATTTCCCCTTTAGCCCAGTGAAATAATCTGTGCCAGACATTACTTTTGGCCTTTAGACTCATAAAAGCCTGTCTG